CTTGGTATAACAATAAGGGGAATTGTCTCCCAAGTTCTGGGACGGCTCTGAGGACAGAGTTCAACCTCACTTCCACGGCCTATGCACCCCGGGGCAGCCATGAGGTGCCAGAACCTGAGGGGAAGTTTACCCCGAGAGTGGGATCTCACAGTCATCTCTTGGGAGGAGGGCTGAGGCATCTCGAAGGAGGCTTGGGCAGGGCCTGGCTGAGGATGGGCCGTCCTAAACGATCCCTAGCTCAACCCACCTGTGGGAGGCTGCAGGCCCTGAGCCCGTCTCTCTCTCTGGCAGCCGCCCACAATCTCACCATTTCCTGGGGCTGTGGACAGGGCTAGACTGATAGCAAGCAAGGCCCCCAGAGGAGGAGATAGGGGGACAGGAGGACTGTCAGCTCCCCGTCCCCGGCTCGCATGTCTCGTCCATGACCACAGGAGCCGCCGGCCAACTGCACTTCCAGCTATCACCCCAACCGCACGGGCCCTGCTCTGTCAAAGTGACACCTGCCACCCGCAGCTTCTGCCCCCCAGGCAGGGCTGTCTCGCAGTGACACACGATATCACGCCTGTGTCACGAAGGCTCCTTCGATGCGGAGGAGTCTCGCTAGTGGCCAGAAAGGTTTGGCAGCTTGTGAGCGACCTGTGGGAGATCTCATGGAGGCCAGCTGGACGGAACGTGTCAGAGTGTGCCCTGAAGAGGCAGCAGGGCAGAGGGGATATGGTAGTGAGTTCCAATCCTGCGCCTGACACTTCTTGGCTGGGTGACCATGAGCAAATTGCCTTCTCTCTCTAGGCCTCAGTTTCCTCACCTGTAAAATGGGGCTGGTGACCCTAGACCCCCACATTTCAGAGGGTTGTGAGGAAAGCGCTTTGTAAGTCCGAAAGCTCCCAGGAAGGTCAGTCACAGAGGCACCAGTGCTGGCTTGGAGTGTGAGTTCAAACTCAGCCACAGACACCTGGTAACTGTGTGACCCTGGGCAAGTCGCTGAATCTTGTTCTGCCTCAGTTTGCCTGTATGTCAAGTGGGGATAGGCACAGAACTTACCTCCCAGGGTTGTTGGGGGGCCAAATGACGCAGCTTCCATCATTATTTCTCACTGTGACTCTACGCTTCCTGGCTCCTTGAGAATGGGCAAGACCATCTTTGCCTTTTTTTTAGAACTGGGGGCCCTTGGCAAAGAGCCCAGCTGGGGAGGCCTGACTGCCAGCCACTCTCTTCCCCCTCCCTGGGGCCTCTCTAGGAATGCTGGGCACTGTGGTGACCCCTCTGGTCCCAGGGGAGGTGTCCACCACGGCCAGCCAGCCATCCTCTCCCTCTCCAACTGGTCTTGGCCATCCATCTTGTGAGGCCCGGCTCACGTGGATCTAGGAGGGGCCTCAGAGTACATCTTGCGGGGGTGGGGTGGGGGAGACTGAGGCCTGCCTAGTGACCTCGGAAGAAAGGCAGGGACTCAGCCAAGGGCATATAGCAAGTCGGAGGTGGACACACCTTCTCAGGCTTCTCTGACCACCCGAGTCTCTCTCCTTCCTCAGCCTGGCTCCACTGGCCAGCTCAGGAGGCTGGTCTCCTCCGTTGGACGGGGGGCTCCACAGGCCAAGTCACTGCCATGCCACCTTTTCTGGCCACTACAGACTTGAGGAGCTCAGGAGCTCACTCTCAGAGGGAGCCAGGTGGTTGCCTTCTGATCAGGTTAGAGGTTTTGTCAGGCAGAGTGCTGGCCTGCTGTCTCTCGCCCCCCTGCCCCACAGGCATTGAGCAGACTCATCTACAGCTGGCCAGAGCCCCAGAGGCACACCTGTAGCCTGGGCATGTCCCGGGACTTTGTGCTTATCCTGCCACACCTCCCCCCTCCAAGCTAGAAAGCCTCTTAGAAATCCAGGGAGGCCAGGCCTGGGGAAGGAAGGCCAGTCCAGAGCCTCCAGGGGCCCCAGGTGTGTTCTGAGGAGGTGTGGATTTGGGGGATGGGGAGGACTCTCTCCTGATCCCCCATAAGCCCTGCCCTGGGGTCTGCCAAACCGATAACAAATTCACGCTCTTCCTGGCAACCCTGTCTGGAGCACAAGACAGCATCCATCATGTGTATCGAGGGCAGTGGGCTCCCGGCAATGGGCAGCCTCTGTGCTGGGCTTCAGCTGCCACCAGATGGGATGCCATTCTATATCCATACTGCCCACCCACACCCGGCTGGGGCACAGCTCTTGGTGGATGGAGGGAGGGAGGGCTGCCCCTCACCTCAGCCCCTCCTCACTCTGTCAGCAAAGGGAGGAGCCTTGGCTACCACCTGCACCAATGTGGCATTTCACTGAGGAGAAGGCTATGGAGGCCCGGCCAACAGACCACCTCCTCCTCTGTGTGGTGCCAGATCTGGCCCCACATGAGCTTTCCTGTGGAATTGGTACTGAAATGTCTCCAGAATCACAGCGTCTCCAAACTGGGAGGGGGTCCTCCTGACCTCTCTGCAGCTCCAGAGAGTGCATCACTCTCCTTAACAGTCTTCTCTTTGGGCTTTTAGGACTCTCCTCCTCCTCCTCTTCTTCTTTTTCCTTCTTCCTCTTCCTCTTCTTCTTCTTCCTCTTCTTCTTCTTCCTCTTCCTTCTTCTTCCTCTTCTTCTTCTTCCTCCTCCTCCTCCTCTTCCTTCTTCTTCTTTCTCCTCCTCCTCCTCCTCCTCCTTTCTTCTCTCTCTCTCTCTCTCTCTCTCTCTCTCTCTCTCTCTCTCTCTCCTCTCTCTCTGTGTCTCTTTCTCCCCATTCTCCTTCTTTTAGATAACTTGAAATGGCTCTGTTGCGGACATTTTGGCATGTAGTTCCAAAGTCAAGCCCATTATCACTTCCCCAAAGCCCTCCCCTCTTCCCTTACCATAAAGGGCATCACCCCCATCCTCCCAGGCACCCAGACTTCTCTCACCCTCCACATGCAATCAGAGGTCAATGGCCCGTCCTCTCCTCTGGCCTTGCCCCCACCCTGGTGCAGACCCTCCTCCCCTCAACCCTGGACGGTTACATGGCTACTGGGGGAGGGGTCTGCCTGATTCAGGTCTCCCTCTCCAGTCTCTCCCCCACTCAGACACTGCTTGATCTTCCCAAAGCACAGGGCTCATCCCATCACCCCCTACTCAACCTATTCTGGCACCTCCCTATTTATGGCCTCAAAGAGCAAAGATAAAATCCTCGGGCATTCAAATCCCTTCATAGGCTCGCTCTCTTTTCCCCTCCCCGCTTTCCAGGCTTCAGACTCCTCATTCCCCTACATGCTCTTGGCTCCAGTGACCCCCGGTCCTGCCTGTTCCTCAGACAAGCCCCTCCCTCTCTCATTCTGGGCATTTTCTCTGGCTGCTCCCATGCCTGGCGTGGCCTTCCTTCTCATCCCCTTCTCCTTGCTTCCTTTAGCTTCTCAGCTAAAATGCCACCTTCCCCAGGCCTCCCTCCAGCTGCCTTCCCTCTGGGACTGCCCCCAGTGCATCCTGTCTGGAGCTTGTCTCTAAACAGCTGTTCCCTTGCTGTCTCCCCAACTGGGCTGGGAGCTCCTTGGAGGCAGGGGCACTATTTGGTCTTGACCTTTCTTTCTATCACTGGGCTTGGCCCAGCAGGTGCTGAAACAAGAGTGGCCTTCATGGCCTCGGCTTCATCCCGGGTGTACCAGAGACCTACTAGAGAAGAGTTTATCCGGCATTTTTCTGGAGGCACCCAGTGGAGGATGGGGGTGAGGATGAGTTGACCTCCTCCAAGAGTAGCTAAGCCTCTTAGGGAAGGTGGGCCTGACAACCAGCCCTGGCTGACATCTCACAGGGCTCCTGACTCTGCCCTAGGGGCTCAAACTCCCCAAGGCTAACCGTCCTCTGAAGGCAGGAGAATCAGCTTCTTCCTGACCTTCTCTTGACTAAACACGCCCCAACTATCCTCTGATGTCACCAGTCAGTCCCCACTCAGCCCAGCTACTGTCTTAAGAAACAATGGCCCTCTTAAATGGAGGGGTCCAGGCCTGAGCCTGGGGTCTGGAGGGATCTGCCCAGACCTGAAGCCACCTGGCTGGCACCTCCCTTTTCCTAGAGTCCCCTGAAGGCAGAGCCGGGGCCAGTGCAGGGGGCCTTCAGGTGCCCCTGCCCAGGAGGCTGGTGCAGCTGGCCTGCAGATCTGTAGTTTGGGTGGACAGTTCCTCCTGGCCCTCCTGGCCCTTTCCGTCTCACTCCTTGGACTTCAAGAACCACACAGGCTTTGGGCATGCCTAGTGCTTCAAATGGGGGGTGGGACCTGCTATGGCTGTGAGAGTGAGCCCCCACACCTACATTGCCCTTGAGAGAGCTCCCTTTGTCTAGGCCCCTTGCTTCTCCTCCCCACTGTCTCAGACAGAAAGTAGCTCCCCAAACACTTTTGGGAAGTTCTGGGCGCAGAAGAGCAGGGGAAGGACATCTACATTTCATTGTAGAGCCTTGATTTTTCGGATCTACACAGTCTCTAGGGAGGTGCCCCTCAGCTCCCCCCCAGGATGGCATGATGGAGGGTGCTGAAGCAGGAGGCAGGGGGCATTTCCAGGACCCTCAGGAGCTAACTGCTTAGCATGAGCTTGGACAGACGCCTGGGACTGACCCAGAGGTGGGGCAGGCCAGAGACAGAGCATGCCCACGACCTTACAGAAGACTGGGACAATGGGCAGCCCCATTGTGAGTTTCTTGTCTTCTAAAGTCCAAACCCCGAAGAGCTGGGGCTCTGGGCTCCTTGTGGGTCAGAGGGCCCAGCAGCCACCTGGGGATGGATTCCCATGAAGGCACCCAAAAAATACATAAAACCTAAAAGACGCCAGTCGCAGTGAAATAGAGATTTGCTTCCCATCTAAGTTTTGGACGTCCTGGGATCTCCCTACAGAGCCCAGATCAAGAAGCCAGGGTTCCAGAAGCATTTTGTTCTGACTCTTTAACCCAGGAGAAGGTGAGGGCCAGTTGGCCAGAGGGCCCCCTCAGGGGCCGGGCAAGCCCAGCACAGCCCGGAAAAGGGTCAGGTTTGCTTACCTGTCAGGCAGAGGAGAGCCTGGAGCAGCCTCATGTCGGGAGCTGGAGCTGAAGGTGAGCAGGGGGAGCTGGTGCAGGGTTCCAGGCAGCAGGTGTGGCCCCCCTCAGCTTCCCCAGGACAGCTGTGCAAACTCCCACAAGAACACCTTCGCATCTATATACAGAGGAACCCACAACCCCTGGGGGCGGTGTGCATGTGTGAGAGAACTTCCTGGGTCTTCATTTCAGGCCCTTCTGGGCTCATCCTTCCCTGGGAAGTCAGGTTTCCTGGCGCTGTCCAAGCCTCCAGAAAGGTTTCCCTAGCACATCTGTGTCTTACTTCTTAGAAGGAAATCCACAGGGAATCCTAAAAATTGAGTCCAAGCTCCTTCCTGGTAGATGATCAAGGCCTCAAGCCGGACCTCAGAACCATGGCCAGTGGCACTAAAGCTAGGATGCCGGCCTGTCCTGGGGAGGCTGGTGCCAGTTCTGAGCTGTGTCTCTAGCCTCAGGGGCGTGGCTGAGGTTGACCGGGTGCTCCGTCTATAGGCAGGGAGCAGGGAGCAGGAAGCCCCCTTTTCTGGGGGGCAACGTGAACTGGCCTCCAGCTGGTAGGAAAAGCAAGCTGGTCAGGGGCTGCTGATGCAGCTTGGGGGCCTGCTCACTCCCTGACTGATTTCTGTGCAATTCAGTCTGATTTTCTTCTGCCTTGAGGGTGTCTGAGTCTGGCCTATGCCTGGGAAGTACCCTGCAGGGGATGTTGGGTGTGTATGAAGTGTCTCCCCCCACCCCCACCCGGGGGTCTAACACAAACACAGGGGCCAGTTTAACCCCCACCTCCTTCAGGAACCCGGGCCTGACCTTCCCAGACAACCTTCCCTAGAGATGTCTCTAAAACAAGGGGATGGGCCCGCAAAGGCCTCGCTGTTCTCTGGGCTTCCAGGGGCCACCAGCTCAGTACTGATCATTCACTGCCCATGGGCTGCATGCAGGGGGGCCCGGCTTCCAGGCTTCAGGAGGTGACAGGTCCACTGGGCTCTGCCCTCACCCAGCCAATTCTGCGGTGTTGGGATCCGGTGTAGACAGCAGAGTTTATGGAGGGAATAGGGAGGGGCCCCCGGGGTGTTTGCTAGAGGCATTGCCCGGAGGAGATACTCCTGGGACAGGAGGAGGGGGAACACGCTAGCCGTCTTCAGTATTTGAGTCCCCCCCCCCCCCCCCCCGGAGAACACGGTTCGACTTTCTCGCTTGACCCTAGAGGGCGGAGTCAGGAATAATAGGTGTTTCAGGGACTGAGCCAGCTCAGTCTGGCACCAGGTGGAGAAGGGGCAGCAGCATCTGTGACTGGCGGCCGTGCTCCCGCCGCAGCCCTGAACTCCTCCCCTGACCCTGCCCACATAGAGCCATAGAGATAACGGGTGGCAGTCCATCCCAGGCCCCAAGCCTGGGCAGGACCTCAGCTTCAGTCTCCGCCCGTCGGCCGGCAGAGGCGGCCATCTTTCTGAGTGATGGGCTATCAGGAGCACCACCACCTGCGGTCCCGGAGCAGAGGGCGGCCGTTTGGGGCTTCATTGGTGCAGTCTCTGCCCCCGCCTCTCCCCTAGCTCCTGGTTCTGGTTGCCAAGCCCAACCGGGGGCCCACGCTGAGCCGCCAAAGCTTCCGACCTGGGGCTGCAGGGGTGGGCTGACTGCCGAGGGTGGGCCGGGAGAGAGGGGCTTAGCGTTCGTTCCCGGTCTGCTCGATTCCTCAGTTTTCAGTCCTTTCTGCTTTTACCATCAAGGCTCAGGGGGTTTTAATGCTTGCACCTCAATGCAAGGCGCTTCCAGGACTGGATGGCCGAAGAGCCTGGGGCGGACTGCTTCCGAAGCCTGCGCCTCTCAGGGAGTGATAAGAAGGCTGGGCGACTCGGGGCGGGAGTGGGGAAGACACCTACTTGTCCCAGGTGGAAGCTGTCAAGGGAGAGACCTAGGCCGGACCTGAGTGTGGGGAGAAAGGAAGAGCAAGCAGTCCCAGTCGGGAGTGGAAAGAGGTGGTGGGCGGGGGAGTTGCCTCCTCCGGCGGTGGCGGGGGAGCAGTGGCTTCAGTCCCCCTCACCCACCCAAGAAAGGAGCTGCAGTGGAATAAGATGGGCGGGGCTGCCTCCTTCTGGAGGGGAGGGAGCAGCAGGGCTTCCGAGCTCCACCCTATCCCTCCCCTTCCGTGACATCTGGGAGAGACCCCCCCCACTCCTCCCTCTCCATGCGGTCTGCGTGAGCCCCTCCACACACAGCCCTCCTCCTCCATGGGGTCTGGGTGAGCCCCCTCCCCCACTCCTCCCTCTCCATGCGGTCTGGGGGAGACTCCAGGGGTCCCCTGATCCAGTGTCATCCATCTGTTGACTGGCTCCCTTGGGGTCCTTCCAACTCAGTGATTCAGTGATTTCTGCCTAAGAGACTGGCCAGTCTAAAGCAGAGAAGGGTCTCCCACTGCTCTTAGAAGTGATTTAAAACTGGAGTGGATCGTCTTGAATTTGAGAATCAGCGCCGCCTAGTGACCAGAGAGGTGACCATACGATGACACGGACAGCGCTTGGGGGCGGGGTTCGGGGGGCGGCTCCAAAGTTATAATAGATTCAGAGTATGGGAGCAGGAAGGGACTTGGGCGGGGGGAAGGGGGTGGGGGGGGGGGTCATCCAGTCCACTCTCTCCCATTTTATGGATCATAAAAATAGGCCCAGAGAGGGGACACTCTTGGGCACGGCCCCGTTTCCTCCTTTATGAAACGAGGGCATTGGACAGATGGACCAGAGTCAGAAGGGAACTTAGCTTCCATCCCCAAAAGGATCCTTCCCCATGGCAGCCTCTGCTTGGAGACGCAGAACCATTCCTGGTTTGGATAATCCTGGGCAAACAGGCTGGCTTCGGATCTTGCAGGAGAGCCAGCCTGAGAGGGGCCCCTTAGAGGGAAGGTGGGGCACATCAGTTTGGGGTGAAGTTGTTGACTTTCCCCAAGACATGACAGAATCTTCCAGTGCTGGAGTAGCCAAGGGCTCAAGACCCATAGGGGCTGGTGCAGAACCGACTCACAAAGGGGCTGAGAATGGGTAGAAGGAAGAGGGCAGGTAGCTGGGGCCGGCCAGGAAGATGGCCCAGGAGGGATGGTACATTTCAAGGTTCTCCTTGGATATGGAAGGGGGACATTGATGAGTGATGCCAAGACAAGGGTGTGTGGAGAAAGGAGAGCCTGGAAGTGGCAATGGGGGCAAGGAGGATTCCTATTCCCCTGCCTGGACCCCTGGGCACAGCCCAGGGTTGTAGAGGGAAGCCAGGGAGGCTGTTATCATCAGGGGAGCCAGGGAGGCTGTTATCATGAGGGGAGCCAGGGAGGCTGTCATCATCAGGGGAGCCAGGGAGGCTGTTATCAGGGGAGCCAGGGAGGCTGCCATCATCAGGGGAGCCAGGGAGGCCGTTATCATCAGGGGTGCCAGGGAGGCTGTTATCAGGGGAGCCAGGGAGGCCGTTATCATGAGGGGAGCCAGGGAGGCTGTTATCAGGGGAGCCAGGGAGGCCGTTATCATGAGGGGAGGCAGGGAGGCCGTCATCATCAGGGGAGCCAGGGAGGCTGTTATCAGGGGAGCCAGGGAGGCTGCCATCATCAGGGGACCCAGGGAGGCCATTATCATCAGGGGAGCCAGGGAGGCTGTTATCAGGGGAGCCAAGGAGGCCGTTATCATCAGGGGAGCCAGGGAGGCCGTTATCATCAGGGGAGCCAGGGAGGCTGTTATCAGGGGAGCCAGGGAGGCCGTCATCATCAGGGGAGCCAGGGAGGCTGTTATCAGGGGAGCCAGGGAGGCTGCCATCATCAGGGGAGCCAGGGAGGCCGTTATCATCAGGGGAGCCAGGGAGGCTGTTATCAGGGGAGCCAGGGAGGCCGTTATCATCAGGGGAGCCAGGGAGGCTGCCATCATCAGGGGAGCCAGGGAGGCCGTTATCATCAGGGGAGCCACGGAGGCAGTTATCAGGGGAGCCAATGAGGCCGTTATCATCAGGGGAGCCAGGGAGGCTGTTATCAGGGGAGCCAGGGAGGCCGTTATCATCAGGGGAGCCAGGGAGGCTGTTATCAGGGGAGCCAGGGAGGCCGTTATCATCAGGGGAGCCAGGGAGGCTATCAGGGGAGCCAGGGAGGCCGTTATCATCAGGGGAGCCAGGGAGGCTGTTATCAGGGGAGCCAGGGAGGCCGTTATCATCAGGGGAGCCAGGGAGGCCGTTATCATCAGGGGAGCCAGGGAGGCTGCCATCATCAGGGGAGCCAGGGAGGCCGTTATCATCAGGGGAGCCAGGGAGGCTGTTATCAGGGGAGCCAGGGAGGCTGTTATCAGGGGAGCCAGGGAGGCCATTATCATGAGGGGAGCCAGGGAGGCTGTTATCATCAGGGGAGCCAGGGAGGCCATTATCATCAGGGGAGCCAGGTTTTAGTAAAAACTGGCGGATGGAAGGAGTCAGAGAGGAATATGTTTGAGTTTCTGCCTATGGAACAGGCATTCCAGAGCGCACAGTAGGAGGGAAGGGTGGAATTGGGATGAAGCTTTTGGGGTGGGCGGACTGAAGGAGATGGGAAGGAGTAATAAGGTGGTGAGGGGTGGGGACTGGATTTGGATAACACTACAAGAGATGAGAGTCCTCAAGATGTGAAGAGTACGACCAAGTCTGAGCACGCTGGTCCTTGCGTGGAGAACACCACTGATATTCCCAATGTATGCAAAAGCAAAAGGTGAGACTGGAGGCACTCGACGGGCAGGTGGGCAGGTGGGAGGTCCTGCTGCACACGTCCTGTCCTCTCCAGGGGCTGGAGACGAGGCGGGAAAAGGAAGCCGGAAGTCAACGCTGCTTTCTGTTCCTGTTCTGCTTGGTCAGTAGACCTTTTTGTAAAAGCTAATCAATGGGTTAGCATGATCTTAGAGCTGCCAATCCCTGAATCATTTGAAGGAATAGAGGAGAAATTCACTGGCACAGGAAGTGATTTGGGGGAGAACATACAAGACAGAAAGACTAGTTTCTTCCTTGAGAATTCAGAGGGCGTGAAAGGGGCAAAAAGAAATTGCGCCCCGTCACCAGGTTGGAGAATGGAACCCTCCACATTGGAGGAGGTGGGCCATTTTCCTCCAAGGAGTGACCAGTGACCATGGGGAGGGAGCTGCAGGTGTCTGTCCCACAACAATCACAGGAAGAAGAGACAGGTGCCTCCCTGATCGGGAGTGAGGCAGTAACGTCCAGGACAGCTGCTGTCTTAATGGGCTCAGACCTCGCACGGGAGGGCTTCTGAGGCTCTCACCACCCCTTCCTAACAGCCTCACTCAAAGGCATCCAGAATGCCCTGCCACGGGTCTTAACATCGACCCTCGAACCACAGATGTTGGGGGATCCGTGAGGAGATGGTGACAGATGGCATCTGAATTTTCAGACCACAGGGTTGGGGGACAGGCACGGACAGACAGGTGCCGGGAAGCTTCAATGCTGAGGATGAAGCTGAAGGGAGGGAGAGGGAGAAAACTGCCTTCAGGCCGAGTCTCTTGCAGAAGATGGGGCCAGCCTGGAAGGAAGCCAGAGTATTGTGTCCAGTCTGTCAGGCAGTGCAGTGGAGAGGGTGCTTGGCTTGGAGTCACAAAGACCTGAGTGTGCTCAGTGACCCCACATAACCACTGTCTACCTCAGTTTCCTTGTCTGTAAAATGGGGAAACTGAGCAATAGCACCTGTCTCCCAGGGGTGTTATGAGGCCCAAATGAGATAGTATTTGTAAAGCACTATGTACATGCTAGCTTTTTAAGAAATTACCACCTGAAGAGGAATCTTCTGATTGGCTTCCGAGTCAGAATTGAGTGTTTATAGGTCCTGAGCCCTAAACTTGGCCTCTTGGGTATTTCTTCCTGCTCTTCTGGGAAAGAGTGTCAGGCTAGGCTGTGGTCTCAGCAGCTTGGAAGGGTGGGCAGGGCTGGAGACCAGGTCAGATGACCAAGGGGAGGGGAAGGGGATGGACCCACTGAGAGCCAAACAACTCAGCTTTTGGCTCCCCACATGTGCAAGGGAACTCAGGGAGACTGAGGCAGGAAGTGGGGAGAGAAATGTTCTGTCCTTTCTGTTCTCACTCCATCGCCTCAGTAACCATCCCTTTGTAAGAAGCTAGCTGATGTGAGCTCTCCTTACTGACCTTTAACACTGGA